CAGCAAAGCTGGCTGAGGAACTCTGGGAGTTGAAGTCCACAGGTCTTAACGTTGCCAAGGTTGGAGACCACCGCCCTAAGGCATTCGGCAGAGCAGGCCACAAACCCACTTCTGGGAAAAACTATGAAAATGTTAGATGGGCAGCGTCACCACTAGGTGGCGTCGTAACCGGCTGACAAACCATGCACAATGGGTAGCCCTTAATGGCCTGACATCCGCATGTAGGGAAGTAAGCAGTGGGGTACCACAAGCTTCCCTCTTGGGCCCCGGACTCCTCAATAGCTTTACAAGTGACTTCGATGAAGCAGTAAAAGAGGAACTTCTCATCACCCATCTTACAAAAAAAGACGTCCAGACTTTGGGAAAAGAGCAGAGAGGAGCAACTGGGAGGATTAAAGGTCCAAAGGAGACCAAAACATCTGAAAAAACGGTTGCAGGATTTGGGTTTGGCTGCTCTGGGGAAAAGAAGGATGGGGGGGGGACGGGGACGGGACGTGAGAGCAGCCTTCCGGTATTTCAGGGGCTGCCCCAAAGAACAGGGGGGTCCGCTTATTCTCCAAAGCAACAGAAGGCGGGGGAAGAAACAACGGATGGAAACTAACCAAGGAGCCAAGCAACCAGGAATGACAGTGAGGACGGTGAGGACGATTAACCAGCGGAACTGCGTGCCACTGGAAATTGTGGGTGGCGGTTTTTAAGAAAGGACTAGACAGCCACTGGTGTGAAATGATATAACCCCCCCACACACACACACACACTTACCGAGGGGATCTTGAGGGCCTTGGTGTAAAAGGAGCGGATCTCCCAGTAGCCCAACAGGCTGCAAAGGACTTTCACCAAACGGTAGAGCCAGAAAGTGGCAGCCATGACCAGCAGGAAAATGATGCCACTATTGGCCTGGATCCTGGGGGGGGGGGGGGGAGAGAGAGAAGGGAGGGGGAGGAAGTCACAGGTTCAGCCACTGATTGTGCAAGGCCTCTGCGGCTGCACACAAACAAAGACACAACAACGTCTTCTAGGAACCGTCCCAGATACACAGAAGAGCTGAGAAGTTGCCCAGGGAGGCTGGGGCCGGTCCCAGGGTCAACAGGTGGGGAGTGTCGCCTTCTCTCTCTGGCAGCTGGGCCGCATATTTGGGGTGGGGGGGAGGGAGGCTCGCTCTGCACAGGTCGAACAGCAACAGCTGCTCCGGTTTCTAAACTCGCCGTTGAGCAAACACCGGGCGTCCTTGATGTCTGACCGCCGTGGAGCCTGGAATTCCCGCGGTTCCTGCTCAAGTTCCTTTTGCCGCCTTACTTTTCTGTGTTAAGTGGCTCCCTGCCGTTTTTCAACGAGGAACCCGGTCGTTAAGCGGATCCGGGTTGGCTCGGCTCATCGGGAGGTCGGAAAGAGGGGGTCTGCTGTGGCCGTCCGAAATACGAACCGCTTGCCGAGCGGCCAAACGTAAATCGGATGACTTGCGGCAGTCGTAAGCGTGAAACGGGGTCCCAAGTCCCCGTTTTCCGTCCCCTTTGAAACTTTGTGCCGTCGCGAAAGGAATGGTTGCTAAACTGAGGACTATTTTCTGAATAAGCCTTTCTAAACTCACCCAAGGGCAGGTCCCGTCCCAACCGAAGGGGCTCCCCCACCCGCCAGGCTCACCAACCCCTCCCCCACGACATTTCCAGCACCCCACAGGTAGCACCGAGAAGCTATTTCTATGGACAGTCCTCGACTTATGACCACAAATGAGCCCCACCGTTCCACTGTTAAGCGAGACATTTCCTTTCGAGTGAGCTGCATCCCCTTTTCCCTTCCTTGCCCCCGCCATTGAGTGNAAGAAAGGAGGGAAGGAGAGAAGGAAGAAGGGAAGAGACAAAGAAAGAAAGGAGGAGGAAGGATGGGAGGAAGGAAGGAAGGAAGGAAAAGAGGGAGGGGCCCAGACCCCTGAACCACCACTTCTCTGAAGACCCCAATCTCAGCCACTTCAGAAGCCAGCAGAGACCCCTTTCCAGCTCCCCTTTCAGTCAAAGCCCAAGGAAACCCCCAACAGCCCTCCCCAAAGGGGCCCCTTCTCTTCCTCCCCTCCCCTCACCTGGCCAGCGTGACCACCAGTCCCAGCAGCGTGATGGCGGTCAGGATGTGCTGGACGGTCAGCACGTCCTCGTCGTAGACGGTCAGGGCGATCAAGACGGCCAGCAGGGAGCCCGCGAAGAAGCCGACGTTCCGGGCCACCACGGCCAGCAACGGGTTGGCGAAGGAGTTCATGTACTTGGAGGCCGGCTTGTAGCCGCGGCTCAGCCTGGCCTGCAGCTCGTGGTCCAGCTCGTTGAAGTGCCGCAGGTAGAGCCGGCCGTAGAGCGACCAACGCCGGGCGCCCAGGCTCCCGGGCTCCCGCTTCAGCGCCTCGGTGTAGCTGAAGAAGGCGTAGAGGCCCTGCCAGACCAGGATGAAGGGACACAGCAACAGGTTGGCCACGCCCAGGACCAGCATGCTGCGCTCCAGCCGGCGGGCCAGCTCCAGCCGGGCCCCGGCGCGCTTGTACTGTGGCTGGAGGTTCCACTTGCCCTGGAAGAGGGAGCCCGGCCCCCAGAAGAGCAGCAGCTCCAGGTTGTACTTGAGCCCCTGAGTCAGGAAGACTCCCCGGCCCAGCAGGGGCAGCTGGAAGCGGACGGGGAGCAGGGACTTGTTGACCATGGCCACCAGGTAGTTCTTGAAGCGCAGGATCCGGTGGTGGATGTCCAGCTCGGTCAGCTCCCGCCGGTGGACGCAGAGCTGCTGTTCCCGCTGCAGCGAGATCAGCCGGGCCTGCACCTCCTGCCAGCTGCAGTTGCACAGCTGCTCCTGCAGAGGGAGCGATTTGCAACTAAGACGGCGGGAACATATATATATATATATATAT